CCTAAATGCTTTAGAAACCCCCTAGCTGTGTGGGCCAGATAAAATGCCACCATGGGCTTAGGTGGCTGACTGCTGCTCTAGAGCATGCTGTTTTGTTTTCCTTTCCTTAAGGCAGCGATGGCATTGGGTTCTGGTTTTGTTGAGGCTCAATAACTTTTACTCCTTCACTATTTAAGAAGTATTCTGTTGGTAGCAGTTTATATTGGGCAAATGTGGACAGAGTTCAGGATCTCATGAATACAGCACTTATTCCCCTCTATTTACCTTTAGATGGTTTCATCTCCTTTATACTCTCATCAGTGCCAGCATCCCAATGTCCTTCTTCTTTAATTTGCAATTTGTGCTTCTAATGAGCATGTTCAGTAAGTCTTAGGTTTTAAAGTATAGGCAGAATCTTGAGCTATTCCTGCATGGTTTGATTGCCACTGGGCATGTATCTGTCTGCTAAACACAAAAGCAGTGGACTTGCTGCTGGAGTTGATTAGCATCACTTTTGCTGCTGAAGGGAATGGAAAAGGCAAAACGCATTGGTGGTTTGGATTTCATGACATTTGCAGCACATCAGACATTTTTAGTCAGGACAGTATTTTGTAGATACCAAGAGTTAGATTAGCTACATGATCTGATGGTTTGCAGTTTCTTCTTTGTGGGAGAATACTAACAGCAGAAGGGTTCCTTAATTGGAATGTGGCTTATTAGGATCATGTTTATACCTGGTGTGTAGACCATATTTGACTTTTCTGTTTTGGGTTCTGGGTCAGTGTAATGTTCCTTGTATAAACATTTTGAAGATTTCCAGGCTAGAGGATTTAGGAACTCTCGGATACATCCAAGTTTGATCATAAACAGGATAGTAAATATTAGCTGGAATGAAAAAAAACTGGTGTATTGTGGATTTGAGGCTTAGCTAACTTAGGCTTTGTTTAGACTGGGAAAAAGGGTTCAAGATGGGAATGTGGGCAACATCGTTTTGAGCTCCAAGGCTCCTTTTATATTGTATAATTGAGAGAGGTTTGACAAGCTTTGGAGTGTACTCTGTCCTAACTCAGGTCTAGCTTTGAGCCTGTACTTAAACTGAAGCAGTTGCACCAAAAAGTTTGAGCGGGTCTGAAATACAGGGCAACTTTGAGTTTAAACCTGACCACTTTGAGGTGAGTCCTGTTCACGTCTGTGATCTGGATGTCTGTCTGGCATCTTTTGACATCATATTAAGGCATTTCTTAGAAAACAGCTTCCAGAACACAATTTGATTCTAGTGACCTCAAAGACCATTTTAACTAATAAGCTTGTTCAGTTTCAATTTAAACTCTGAGGAGCCAAACAAATAGTGTGGAAGATGACTAATGCAATTAGTGTGTCATCTGCATACTTGCCAGGACTACAGACTCAGGTCCATAGGCCCCCCCCACCCCCACCCCCTTGCAGACTTGGGTGAGGTGGCTCCCCACCACTGCGTGCACTCTTGGGGGGGTAGGGGGGACCCGTGCCCCCCAGCTCTATACGCAGGGCAGGTGCAGGCTGCAGGCTTGGGCTCCCACCCTACTTCCCTCCACTGGGACCTCCACAGCCCAGTGGGCACGACCTGGTGCAGCAGGGAATGGCTGAGCCATGTGGGGATCGCCTTGCTGCTGTGAGCTTCATGCTGCCCTGGTGACATGCCTCCTGCATGAAGGGCTCAGCCCTGCACACCGGGGGCATGTCACCAAGGCAGCGTGGAGCTTGCAGCAGCGAGCAGCTTCCCCGCACCGCTCCTTTTGCTCCATGCCATGTTGTGCCTGCCGGGCTGCAGAGGCCTTGGGGGAGGGAAGCAGGGTGGGGCTCGCAGCGGTGAGCAGTTTCTCTTTGTGAACCTGCTGCTCCCTGCTGCCCTCCCCAGGGGTCTCTACAGCCTGGTGGGCATGACCTGGTGCGGCAGGGAGCAGGGGAGCTGCGTGGAGAACCTGCTCGCTGCTGCAATCTCTGTGCTGCCCTGGTGACACGCTTCTTGTGCGTGGGGCTGAGCTCCTCAAAGCAGTGGCATGCACAGGATGCACATCACCAGGGAGCGTGGAGCTCGCAGCAGTGAGGAGATCCCTGTGCGGCCTGGCTGTTCCCTGCTGTGCTGGGTCATGCCCACCAGGCTGCTGAGGATCTGAGGGAGGGAAGCAGGGTGGGAGACTGCAGCTTGCGCCTGCCCTGTGTACAGCTCTGTGGTGCAGGTCCCCCCTGCCCCCTGGGAGTGCACGGGGCAGTGGGGAGCCGACCCTCTCCCTCCCCTGGACGAGCTACCTGTAGCCCAGTCCTGCTCCTTGCTGGGGCCCTGCAGCCATGCATTGCAGCCCCAGGCCCCAAACACTACCTGGCTGGGCAGCAGCCCCAGCCCTGCCCAGCTCCCTGCCTCCCTACAGGGGCCAAAATCCCTCTTTTTACACCCCCTTACTTGCTGGAGCTGCTCTGCAGGCTGCCTGGGGCCATGTACTGTACGTGAATGTGGTGCCCCCTGTCTCGCCACCTTCCTCCCACTCCTTGTCATTGCAAAATTGTTAAGTCCACGGGTTTCTCTGATAAAACGAGACATCCACATTTGCCTCTAGTAAAAGGCAAAATCTGTGGTTTACTTTGTTTTTCCGTGGGAAACAGAAAACCCAGATCCTGCTCACTACCTTGCCAGAGGCCTGGCTATACCTGCAGTAGTAGGTTTTGCCTGGGGTGCCACTGATGCTGCCAGCACCCCAGCTCTCACTGGGATATGGACTACCACAGTGGAGACCTGTGGTACTGCTTTGGTTGCCAGTGGCTGCCTCTGTAAGAAGCCCTGCCATGGTGGCCAGAGCCCTGGCTCTGGTCACAATAGAGGAGCTTCTGCCCAAGTTGCTGGTGGAGCTGCACATGCCCCTGAAAAAATAGGGGTCTGGCTGTTGCTGTGGTAAGCTGGGGCTCTGGCCACCGTAATAGAGTATCTGACCATGGTGTTTTTGGCTGCTGCCGGCAGCCCAACCACTTTGGCTGTGGGGGTGGAGTTTCTGACCATGGTGCTGCTCAGGTTGCTAGCACTCCAACTTGCCAGGTTGCTGGCTGCTGCCACAGGAAGCCTAGTCACTGCAGGGCTTGGCATGTGGTACTGCTGGGGTGGTCAGCTCTCTCTGAGGAGAGTGCAAGCTGCTGCTGTGGGAACACGGGCACACACACAGGCACATTGTCTCTGTACTTGATATGCCCACACACGGATAGTTACAACAGTAACTGCAAAAGAATATAGCAATGATAGGTAATACAAAATGAAGTTAAGCTGCATTAATTACGCTGAATTGCACCTCTACTCAAAATGGCCCAATATTTGGGCTAAAACTAGTAGCTGGCAAACTGGAGTAATCAAGGAATAATGCAATGCTGTGGTCTTAGCATGATGAGAGGTCCTTGAGGCAAACTTAAATAAAAAAAACAAAACTTTTGACTAGTTATACAATTTAAGAATTGTATAACAGATTTGTTCTGAAACTGTAAAATAGTGGTTCTCAACATTTCTAGAATTGAGGCACTCCTTAGTCTTGAGACATCCCTTGGAAAATGCCAGCTCTTAGTTTTCGTTCAGTTTCTGACTACAGAGAAATAATGGAGCAATTTTTCTGTTGCAGACATCTCAGAAAGATCACAACAGATCAGAATGTTTTTAATGATATGGTTTTGTATTTGAAAGGTTTGGATTTATCTTGTGAATCATGTTTGCACACCTAACAATACTAGCATTGTGTGGCACCCTTGAAAGCGCCACAGAGTACTGCGGCACCCTGGTTTAAGCATCATTGGTGCGAAATAATCAGCATCAGGGACCAGATAAGAACTTTTCCATGCTCCTTCAGAACAATATTACTCGCATGGTTTGTTGCAGAATTAATTGTTTATACAGTTTTTAGATGCTTTTAAAACTAAAAACTCAACTATGTAGAAAGGAATGCATCAATTTGACTTCAGAGGAGCGTATGGATAAATAACTTATAAATAAGTTAACTGAGATCCAGACTTTTCTATAATTGTTTGTCATTGTGCTGTTTGGGTTTCGGAGGGAGTGTTGCTTTTAACCTGCAAGAGTCTGCTCAAAAACATCATTGCAGTGATTTGCTGTGCTTTCTAACCTGCATTAACTTTGACCTTTGTCCTGCTT